TTTATTTTTGTTCGTATCTTAAACAAATTTGCCACTTTATTATTTTAGGGCACCTACTACGGGGCTGGAACAGGTGGTACCTGTAGCTACCCCCCACCCAGTATGCCCCCCGTGGCCAGTAAACTAGACAAGTTGGTGGCCCTCAATGCGCCCCAGTTCTACGGATCCCTGTCTTGTGGAATGTGTTTTAGAGTGAGTACCAAACAGACCACAACATCAGTTTTTCGAACTGGTAGTTCTCTATAGCGGAGAAAAATTTAATTCATGGTTCCAAGCATATATAAACGTGTTTTATTCCATTACCTATTTATTATTACGTTAAAATAGATAAATTTATTTTTTAATTTAAAAAAATAAGTAAAATTAAATCTTTTTAAGGTTCATGGAACTGGTCAGGGAGCTGGCAATGACCCAATTACTGGAACTTTTACCGCCTACGTCAAGGACCTCTGTCCGGAATGTCACGCCGGTCAGTTCTTATCTTAAAGGATACAGACGTGTCCAGTTTATCTTTGACTGACCACTTTATTAATGAGAAAGCTACTGTAGAGACAGAAATATTCTCACTCTGAATTTTTTGCTAATGATTTACATTTTACATGTACCGGTACAAATTTTGTACCTCCACATTTATGACATTTATTACTAAACCAGAAAATTTTATATTCATAAATGTACTACCGGCTAATTACATTATTTTATAACAACCTTGAGTTAGTATGGGCATTGATTCAGAGTAGTTTTTAATCAATGTCTCTTTACTATCAGATAAGGAATTTTTTTAAAAAAACCTACTCAATCCTTGTAAATGGTCAATTCATTAATTGAAAATATTAATTACTAGTACCCTTATAAAATTATGCACCAGTACTTTACTTTGCTATTAGGCTCTTTGGACTTGGCTGAGAATGGGGACGGAAGATGGAAGATACAAATTCAGGCCATTCAGTGTCCAGTCGGAAACACCAAAATCGAATACAAATTCCAAGGCAGTAATAACTGGTATCTGAAATTACAAATACGAAATGCAAGGTGAGATAGAAAAATGATAGCTTGATCAAAATTAACTAAATACATAATAATCAGTCAAAACTTACAACAATGCTTGCATATTTCTTTCATTAGACCAAATCCTAACTTAAATTATATATATAGAAACATAAGTTCATGAAAGTTTTCTTAAGGAAAAATATGATCTTGTGACAGAATTCCGGCTACCAAAGTGGAGATGTATCAACCAAAATCTCATACATGGTCAGCTTTACGTCACACCACAGATGGATTCTGGATATTTGGCAATGACCATATTGATAAACCAGTGGTCACTCCAATTAGAGTGCGCCTGACCGCAGCCAATGGGGAAACAGTGGTGGACCACATCCCCAGATTGGGTAAATATCAAGAAAACGGTGCTCCTCTGACTTTTCCATATTATTATTAACAAACATAAGGCTTACCAGGGTTGTTCTTCTTAAAAATCATTCATATTTCAAATAATATCAATTCATTTATTAGCTTCTGGATTTGTAATATTTGTTCAGAAATTTGATGGAAAAAGATGCTTTTACTTTTTATGTTAATTTATTTATATTTTTAAAGAGGGTACCAAGTTGAACCATGTTATATTATTAAGTGCAAGCATATTAAAGATACGATTTTGAAAGCATCTTCTTATTTTACCTTCTAGTATTTTTCATATATAGCTGCTGTCACAAAATGTCTTATATTTTCAGCAAACGACGCCGTTATACATGGTGATGGAGTACAATTCAGCCTGGACTCCTCCTTACCTCATTAATTTTACATCCACTGTAAATCCGGTCATCTTGTTTCATGAAAAGTGTTCAAAATTTGAATTATGTATGTGGTGCTTTGCTTTGAATTATGTATGTGGTGCTTTGTAAATAAATACTCTATTCTCGGAGGATCAAATAGATATAATAAATTGGAATAGAAGCTTCATTTTTGTACTTCTTTTTTGTTGTCCCCCGTCTCGCGAAAGCGAGGGGACATTAAATCTCATTCGTCTGTCCGTCTGTTACCAAAACTTTAACCTTGCTCATAACTTTTGATTGGGAGGGACTATGACTTTCATATTTCACATGCGTATTCCTTGTGACAAGACCTTTCTTTGGGTACCACCAAATTTGACCTTGGAGTTTGACCCACTTTTACACAAAATTTCCAAACTTTTACTTTGGCCATAACTTTTGAACAGTAGATAATAGGACTTTTATATTTCATATATGTATTCTTTGTGGCAGGAACTTTCATTGGATATCAACAACTTTGACCTTTTGACCTTGACCTTGGAGATTTCCGTACTTATGAAAAAACTTTAACCTTGGCCATAACTTTCGAAAGGTATGGGCTAGGGCTTTCATACTTCACATATGTAATCCTTGTGAGGAGACCTTTCATTGGATAACAACAACTTTGACCCTTTGACCTTCACCTTGGAGTTTGACCTACTTATTAAAAACTTTAACCTTGGCCATAACTTTTGTACGGTTCGGGCAAGGGCTTTCATACTTCACGGTAGTAATACTTGTAGCGAGACCTTTCTTAAGAAACTACCAATATATATTTAATTCGTATTTAAGAAAAGTTGAATCTTCGCTATTTTGCCATATGGGGTCATCAGGTTCACTTCCTTATAACATTTGATTGAGAAGAGATAGGGCTTTCATATCTGACATGTACATTACCCATGACAAGATTTGACACAATATGTCATAACAAATGACATCCCACCCAAAAAGACACCGAAAGCGGGGGACCACAATTCTTTGAATTTGCTTGTATCCATTATAACACCGAGTGAATTCATGTTTTGAATATTTCTCGATAGCACATTGTTATATTCATTGTTAAAGAGAGAGGGAGAAAGATTTTCCTCACCAATTATACGCTTGGATATCTCTTTGCAAAACATGCCTTATAATTGGATAAATTTGTAATAGCGATATTAAAATAAAAAAGGGTATTCAATTTCAAAAGTCCATTGAAGCAATAGAACTGTGAATCAGAGCAAAAAAGACCTAAAATTGAGATGCGGTTAGAGGACATACAGGAGTAAGCATCCCATGTCAACCGGTAACACTGTGTGTTTTTTGATCAGGCAAACGTAAAAATCCGTCGACAATGGAGTTTGTAATGAAATAAAACATAAAGATATTGAAGAGTACGCGTGCTCAAGAGAACAATACAAAAAGAGCAGAGCAAACACATCTTAGCATATCAGAGGTCGGATAAAGGAGTAAACATCTTCTGTCGACCGCTCAAACCCGCTGTGAGCCCCTCGTGTTGATCGGGGGAAATGAAATAATCTGTAGATAGTTCAGTGTGTAAATAATGGCTTAGTCAGAATTCTACTTAAGGACAGATTGTATTAATTATTTTTTGCTGACAAGGTAATTGTATCGACAACAGAGCTTCGGAATTGTAAGCTCTAAACGACACTGTTGATATCTTTGTTTTATCAACTTGTTTGTAAATAGTTTGTCTTGTTTTTAAACAACATTATTCTCATATAGAGCAAGTTTTTTTTATCGAATTAGCAACTAATGTGACTCGGGACCTCGAATAATACAGTCTGATTCGAAGGACCGGTTTCCAGTGGGATTCGAACGCCGTTATTCCCCGTTGATCATTATAAGGATCAACTCCTTATTTAGCGACTCCTACAGGATATATGTATTGATTCAACGAAGAAATGACAATAAATCTTGTTCATTTGAAATCGCGTCGTCAATATATCTAAATGTTGAATAAAAAATGAATTCTGCTTCATGTGAATACAAAAATAGATCGGCTTACTAGCATAACGGGCGCAATGTTACCATGGAAATTCAGACAGATTTTGGAAAACTTTAAAAATCCAAAATTGTACAGAGACTCAGTAATGTCAATCAAGGTCAGAAGGGAGTGCTGACTCCTCCATGGCACCTGATCCCACCTCTGATGTTTCGGAGGTCCGTGTTTGCTCTACTCCTATTTTGTTTGTTTTATGGACCTTGAGATTGAATACTGTTCGTTATCTCCATATCCTTCATTCAAAGCATCAACTTCGAACTTTTGTGTAAACGATCATAATGTTTTTAACAAACTGATTTTGCAAATGATATATAATTTATCAAATTTAAGAGTGGTTTTATATTTTTCATGTTTATTGAAAATGCAGCTGTATACGATATAGAAAAGCTGGATTGATTGTGTGAAGTGTTGAAAAGTTGCAAAATTTTGGTAAAATTCTGTGAATTCAAATTTTCTTACGATTCCTAAAGATTCCTTGG